CAGCTGAGAAGTGGACAACGATATACCAAGCCTTCTTACCTGGTTCTTCTCTGAACTGTCTTCTAGTCATTTGACACTCTCCAGAATCCGAAACTCGGGGACTTTGGATTCATGTTTGGGTTCTGGTGTGCCAAAAATATTTCGTGGACGACTTATGTCTTCGAGACAAGAGCAGCAACTCAAAACTAGCCGCGAGCGCGTACATGGAGATTGGGTTGTAATTATTCTACAATTCAACACCAAAACCTCTCGAGAGCTGATGGATGAGCAGACTCGCGAGGAGTGGGCTATATAAACACCACTTCGGCTTTCTCTGACACTTCATCACACCTTCTTCTTCTTCGTTGCAAAAGCTCCATTTCAAACGCCCTATGGGCTGGCCTCTCTCCTCTTCCCAAAAACATATCGTCAAGCTGCACATGCAGGTAGCTTCGACTGCAAAAGTCATTATGAGACACTTCATGAACCAAGAAGCCCTTCCAAAAACAATCGATGTCCAGGGAATGCCCCACCCTCGCGGTTCCCAGGTTAACCAGCTTCTATCAAATATCCCTCTAAAATAGGTGTCCACATATGTCATGTCTTCTGCAGAAGACACCGCACTTCCTACGTCACCAAGAACTTTCCCTACCCAAAACTTCAAGACTTTCATTGCATGTCCCTCCTCAAGAAGTACCATCTACATATAAAACTCCTCTCCCCCGCCGGTCTTCCTGTCTTTCTATACCACCTTCCAATTCTTTATTCTCTGGAAAAAAGCCATGTTCCGGAGCATGGAGTCCGGCTCCTCTTTCTCCTCCAAAATTGCCAAAAATCTTGGAAGGACGAGTCCATGTTGGAACCAGAACACCATAGCCGCCCAGTTCATGTTTGTCGGTCTCAAAACACCAATGATCTCGTTACATGGTGGTGTCTCTGCGCGAGGGAAACCATTATAAATGCGCATTGGATTCGCGGAGACTCTACGTCTTTCACTCCAAAACTTCCATTGCTTAAAACCAAAACAAATGGTTGTTCTGGCCATGTATGTGCCGCTCTGAGAACCGAACCATAAACAGCGGTTCACTGCTTCTCCACTGCCTCAGAAAAAAACGCATCTGTCGGGACCAAAAGTTATACCTGCTCCACTCATGACTATGGTGGCCTCGCTGGTGTTTCCAAAAAAAAAAAGTCAATTATGACTATGCCATGTTGGAGTCAAAAGACTTCCACATCGCTTGCATATTCCCTGCTGAAGGATCTCCCTCAAATCTTCATGGAGAAGAGAGTTGTGGACAGTCCTTGTTATACCCAAATCTATATGTGATCAGTGTATGTGTGGTGGTTTTGGGACGTGTTGCGATAGCAGTCCGCATATTGAGCGGTTACCCCCAAATAGGCGCTGTGGAGACCACGGGTCTGGATATGATTGTGGTGATGATGGTGATGATGATCATTACTCTTATTTTGTCATTGTTCTTGCTCTTCATCGTAAGGCTATAGCCAAGCACATAGCCTGCTACCAGTACACTCCATACTTCATCCTCCATCCTCCACGTGTCTTGATGCATATCGTACACCACCCCATCCCTCTGACCCACTCAGTCTCCAGCCTCACACTCTTAGACAATAGTCTCCAGCTCCCTCGCATACCCCAGCGTATTCTCAATAACCTGATCGCTCGTAACCAAAATATCCCTGTTCAGATACTCATCCTCCTGCTGAGGGAAGTATATCCTGCCGTCCTTGACAACCCAACCGCTCTCCTTTGCAAAGTTGACGACGCTGCCTTCCGAGTCGAGGAAGAGGAGGGATTTGGCGTCGGAAATGGGGATGGAGGGGTATGCGCGCTCGGAGCAGGAAGCGATTTCCTTGCGGATGGTTCCGATGAGGATCTAGAGATGTGTTAGCAGATAGTCCGGTTTAAATTATGAAGGATGTCGTGTGTTTGGTGGTAACTACAATGATGACGTACCTCAGTAAACAGCGCAAACTCCTCGCCAGGCACCCTCTCGCTCTTCGTCTCAACCCACACCTTATCGTAGCTCCCCTCCATAAGCGCCTGCTCCAGACGAATCGGATACTGGATGAACGGATCAGCCTCTAGCTTCGCGCTCGCCTGGGCGGCCGCCACCTCGAGCGTCTCGAGCAGCGTGTGGAAGCCCGCGTAGTCGCCCTCGCTCAGCAGCAGCAACAGGTACAGCCCCGTGACCTTGCTCGATTGGCTGCCATCCTTAGGTAGTGTGGACTCTGGCAGCGAGTAGAAGGGCTGCAGCTGCTGGAAGTAGCGGGTAAAGGACTCGGTGTCTTTGAGGCGGATGGAGATGATGGCGCCGAGTTCGAGCGTCTCACGCGCGAGCTGCAGGTGTTTCCGCGGGGACTTCTCTTGTGGGATGAGGGCGTTGAGGTTGAGGAGGGCGATCTTGGCTTTGCTCAGTAATGAGGTGGATTGCTGGTAGTTGTGCGACTTGAGCGTCTGGTGGAGCTGCTGGAGCACGCTGGAGAGTTCCTTTTCGGCCATGGTGTGCGGTGTCTCGCTTTTGGTGGTTGTCGTAGATGATGGGGAGGGTGAGCGCGGGGATTGAGCGGGTTGATGGCGTGGTCGGGTTGGGGTGTTTGTTGCGGCGAGTGGAAGCTTCGGTGGTTTACGTCGGGGGACCGTCGGCGTCGGAGGTGCTGGCCTTAGCGTGGGCTGCGTGCTCACCGACCGCCACGGCGCGTCATAACCTTCAAACGTACGATAGCGAATATATGCCATAGTCTTCACTTGTTGTCAAACACGCTGAGCATGTTCCTGGGAATATAATCATAATCTGAACACTTTTCAAGATATAAGCCTGACATCCCACGCGTGCCAGGCACCAACCCATGCAGATGACCTAGCCGGTCACATTGTCCCAGCGTGGGAATATCACTATTGGCGACTGGTATGCTTTGGTATTGGTCTACTTCTGTTTGCGATACTGCAGCTGACATTCCTTCTTGCACGTTTTAGAGTCTGCCTTGCATGACCGATTGGGTAGTCAGCACGCCACGCCTTACCTTGTGCTACCGTAGAGATTACTCGTGTGAAAATCTTCTACTCAGAGTACCGTATCGGGGCATGCAGACATGTCCATGGCCTGACCGGTTCGTAGTTCCAACACATCTCACCACCGTCAGACGGAACATCGTCAAATCATGTCCCTTTTGCTTATCTTCTTCTCCCAAACTTTCCCTTTCCACCTCCACCAGTCGCTGCCTTGCCCTTGATGTTGAGTCTCCGATAATTGGCATTTGCCGTAGCCTTGATCTTTCGGGCCGCCGTCTTCAGGACGCCCTCTTTGACCGGCTTCTCCTTTGCTTGCTCTGGTTTCTTTGCTGGCACTTTCCGTCTCCTCGGGGTATGTGAAGCGTCACTCGCGTAGTCGGAGTCTCCATCCAGATCAGAACCAAACTCGTCTGCTATGTCTGCTGGTACTTGTGTTTCAGGGACGGCTGCTTGCTCCTCGTCTAATTCGTCATGTGTCTGTACGGCTGGTATTGGTTTGGGCTTTACGACGTTCGGACGCACTGAGAAGTTGTTAGTCATGTAGCTCTTTGGATGGAAACAGCACATCTTACTTATCACTCGCCGTGTCTGCCTCTTCAAGCCCTTCTTCTTCCAAGCCTTTCGCGGCTTGCCGTCACGACCAAGTTCTGGCTCTTCGTCGCTGTCTTCATCAGACTCAAGGCCTCGGTCCGGGCCTAGGGGCATTGCCGCCTGGCTATCTTCGATCAAGATCTGCGGCGCTCTAGACTTCTTCGGTACGGCGATGCCTTCTTCCTCCATTTCCAGTTCGCGCATAATATCCGCTTCCTCGTCTAGTTGGTCCTCCTCGTCTTTCCTCATCGCTTGTATCATGGAACTCAAACTGCGTCCCAGGCCGCGGCGCATCCAGGGCGCAGGACGTGATATGGGCTCCTCCACCTCGTCGATAGCGCTCAAGACATTGTCTCTCTTCAAGAACGCAGGTGTAGCTAGGCCTCTGGTTGTAGATGACGGTGTACCCTGCTCGTCTAACCTCCTCTTCTTCGGTGTGACGAACTGATTAAGAAGGAATCGCTTCCCGGCCGACAGTGGTGTCCGCTCCCCCCGTGCTCTCGACTCCAGCGACGTCTCGCTTGCTGCATCTTGTAATCTCCTACTCGGTGTTTGTGGAACATTCAGTCCTACATCTCCTAGTACAGTCCTCGGTTTGCTCGGGGTGCCTTGCGCGAATGGGAGCTGGTCGAAGAGACCTAGCACTATACCATCGCGCTGAGGCGTGGGTCCTATGACGGAAGGTCCTTGTGGGGAGAGCAGCTCGGCTGCGTAATCTACATTCTCCAGTGTATCTTCATCCTCTCTTTTCCTCTTCATCGGCGTGGAAAGATTGGGTTTGGGCGCGGCTTTTGGTGTGCGTTCGACATCGAGGCTCGCTTTTCGGCTTGGGGCGCGCTTCGAGGGGGTCTGCGGCGCGGCTTTGGTGGATAATCGTACTCGTAGCTTGTTGTACTCCTTGTACATTTGTGCTGCACATGTTTAGCAGGACACCAGTACTACTGGTGTCGCTCTATACGTACAGATCTCGGCATTGGCCTTGATATCATCGCGTCCCGCCTTCCGAGCATTGTTTTCGGCGGCGAACTTCTTTTCCCAAACCTTCAGTTCCTGTCGTAGCACAGTGCAGCGCTGTTCAATCTCGTCGTTACTCATGTCGTCTTGTGTGGGGTAGGAATGCGTGAAAGCGGAAACGCGAGCGTAATTGATTTCCGCATCTCAAATCGCGGTACGCGTTACGTGCACGCGACAAAACGCCACTAGCAGGGATGTCTCAGCCTTGCCGGCTCCACCCGCGGGCATCATCACATGCACATCAATCCCGAAAACTCAATTGGCAAGCATGACGCATCAGATATATTCTACAAAATACTATTCACAACTCCCTGCTCGCGCGCTTGAGAGCTCGAACATCATGTCGCTGATGCAGAAAGGGAAAGCCGGACCAAAAAAGGGGAATCTAGTAGTGAACAGCCTTGTCGTAGGTGGCCATGGCAGCCTCCTTGAACGCCTCAGCGAGAGTGGGGTGAGCGTGACATGTGCGGGCAACATCTGGGACATTGTTAGCTTTGTTCAGCAAAGATAGATAGTGTATTCGACTCACCCTCTGAGCTAGCACCGTATTCGAGAGCAAGAGTGCCCTCTGCGATCATCTCACCGGCGTTGGCACCAATGATATGGATACCCAATATCCGGTCAGTCTGGGCATCTGCCAGGAACTTGACCATACCCTCAGAGTCGAGGTTGGTCTTGGCTCTTGAGTTGGCGGAGAAGGGGAAGGTTCCGTTCTTGTACTTGATACCGGCCTCCTTGAGCTCCTGCTCGTTCTGGCCGACCCAAGCGACTTCGGGGTGGGTGTACATGACGGAGGGAATGGCACCGTAGTTGACGTGGCCGTGACCCTTGTGGATGTATTCAATGGCGGCGACAGCCTCCTCCTCAGCCTTGTGGGCAAGCATAGGTCCGAATGTGCAGTCTCCGATAGCGCGGATGTGGGGAATCTTGGTGCGGTACTCCTGGTCGATGATCAGGCGGCCCCTGTCGTCGGTCTCGAGGTTGATGTTGTCCAGACCAAGACCGGAGGTGTATGGGCGGCGACCGATGGCAACGAGGACGACGTCGCAGTCGATCTGTAATGGTTAGCATTCTCTCTAAACACAAATGTATGCGATGAACATACGGTCTCCTCCTTTCCACCCTTGGCGGCTTCAACGCTGACGTTGACGCCAGCGTCGTGAACCTCACCGGCGGTAACCTTGGTGTTAAGCTTGAACTTCAGACCCTGCTTTGTGAGGATCTTCTGTGTCTGCTTGGCGATCTCGTTGTCCATGCCAGGGCCACCGATTTGGCCCAAGAATTCGACAACGGTAACCTCAGAGCCGAGACGCGACCATACGGAAGCCTACGAATCGTTAGAAATGCTATATGGTTCAAAGGATGATTCCTACCATCTCAAGTCCGATGATACCACCGCCAATGACAGTCATCTTCTTTGGCACTTCCTGGAGCGCAATAGCGCCAGTGCTTGTGATGACCTTCTGCTCGTCGATGGTCAAGCCAGGGAAGGGTGTAGCCTCGGAACCAGTGGCGATGAGGATGTTCTTGCCGCGGACGGTGGTCTCGCCACCCTCGGTCAGGTTGACAGCGACGGTGTGCTCGTCCTGGAATGCGCCAGTGCCCTTGATGTATTCGACGTTGTTCTTCTTGAAAAGGAACTCGATTCCCTTGGTGAGACCGGAGACGGATGTGTCCTTCGCCTTCATCATGGCGGGGAGGTTGAGCTTGACATCGCCGACCTCGATACCGCGACCCTTTGTATCGTGGAGAATCTGGTGGTAGAGATGCGAGTTGTTCAGGAGCGATTTTGAGGGAATGCAGCCGACGTTCAAGCAGGTTCCACCGAGGGAGCCACGCTTCTCGATACAGGTGACCTATCGCCGTGTAAGCCTTTGAGCTGCGCAATCGCCACGTCTGTCGTCGCTAACCTTCATGCCCGCCTGTCCTGCCTTGATGGCTGCGACATAGCCTGCGACACCACCACCGATGATGACTAGGTCCTTGTCCTCTATCCAACAATCAGCACATGCTCCCCTCTAAACCTCGTAGTAATGCGACTTACCAGCCTCGGACGCATAGCCTCGTCGTAACCGGTTCTGGAAGTAGATGTTGGATGCGCAAAATGTCTTTTTGGAGACGGGCCGCGTCGCCCTCTGCATGGCGCGGGGTGCCAGTGAGCGGAACATGGTGGAGACTACCGAAGAATCGCTACCAAGAGAAGCCGTGAAGTGTACGGCGGGGATGACAGGCGTCAATGGATGGGGCGTGGGATGGGAGATGTGGTTGAGCTTTTTGCGGAGCTCGGCCGGGAAGGTCTATGCGGCTTCCGTAGGGTCAAGGGTGGCGCCAAGCTGACAAAGTGCCTCACGTCTACTCCGTAACATCTTCGTCTCAATGTCCCGGCAACCGGTATCGCATTACTCTATACGGCAAATAAAGGGTATTCTGGCTATATGTAACGGCAATGACTCATCCCTTCCTATTCTCAGTCCTCCGTCAACGTCGTGGTGGCCAGTACTCTCGTCAACATGTCTATTATTGACTTGCAAGCCCATCGAACAGTCTCTCTCTCATGTTTCTCGACGATCTCTGTCTTGCTGATAACCTTCTTGAGGAAAAACTGCAGCCCAGCAATCATCTCAGGAGCCTGGTCCACCTCTACGAATACTTCGCGTACTGCCCGCTCGTCTCGCTTGTCCTTCGATTTAGATGCCTTGAACGACTCCAGAATCGTCGTGACTAGCAAGACTTCGATGAACGTCTTGGTTTTTGGCTGCAAGTAAGGGAAGTTGAGGTTCTTGAGGCTAGTGATGGGTAGAGCTTTCCGGCCGATCAGTGTCCCGTACAGTTTGCCTTGGTTGACAAGTTTGCGAAGAGATGTGTCAGCACCTGCATCGTCATCGTCATCATCCGAGTCATCTGCGCCATCTTGCTTCTCTCCTAGACTCTTGAAGATATCCCATAGCGCAAATTGGAAACTCTTTCGTGTCTTGTGATCTGAACAGACCTTTCGGGCGAGAACTGTGTAGTATGGGTTATAGGTCTTCTCGGCGCCGGCGCAATGCACAATGACCCGTGGAATTTCCGCCTCCTGCGATCTCTTGAGGTTGAGCTTGTTCAGTCGTATTTGAGCGTCTTTGAAGTCGCTGGCAGACATGATAGAGACGAAGATGGCGCGTCGAATATCAGTGTTCATGCGGTGTTCGCGGGCAAGCTGCACGAGATCGACCTCGCTATCGTCGTCCTCAACATCGATGGTTTTTGAAGTCTTGCCAGATTGCTTTGACTCCTCGGGCTTCTCCTCGTTTCCAGGTTCATTACGCCAACTCGCTCCTACTAGCCACCACTTGCCTCTTTTATCCGTGTCTTTGATGTCCTTGAGACCAACGCGTAGCGGCTCGGTTGCTCGGAGGTTCCTCGAATTCAGAGTACCTAACTGCTTCTTCATGCGTATCGTGTGCTCCCTCGAAAGTGCGGAATTGGCTATGCCTGTCTTCATCTTATTGTTCTTGAGATCATTGATCGTCTCAATCATGAACTTTGTTCGGACGGGTAGGTTGTTCTGGCCAACCTTAGCCACAGACTTTTGCAGCAAGACGACAATGTCTTTGAGTGAAGTTGGATCATCTTGTCGCAATTGTGGGCCCGATGCCCTGACTACTCTCAGTAGGAGTTCGGTATTGATCTCCGTAAGTTCGTCTAGGAAGAATCGGATGTAGTCAAAGACGATGTTGCTGCCAATGACCTGGTACGTGTACAGCTCTGCCACTACAGATATCAGGTTTGCCGTCTGCTTTCCATTGCCGTCTTTGTTCGGTTGGTAGTGTTGGTCGAATTCTGCGACAATGCGTTCCACTATTTGCGCGCCAAAATCAGGTCCGATGACTTTGTACACCGCAGCGATGAAACCAGCGTGTAGGTTTAGGAAGGTGTCGAGGAGAGCTGTTGGATCCGACAACATGCCAACGAGCAGGTCGACAAGTGTATTGTTGACGTAGCCTCGAGGGTTGTTTTGGTAGATGTTCTCAATCTCTTTCAGAATAGACAAAATGTTGGCTTCTGAGAGCCTGTTGAAGAGGCCCTGGATTTGCCTTTTGAGACGCAGCAGAGCTTCTGTATCTGAAGCAGGGGCTGCTCTCAGCGCAGGTGGTATGTACTTGGTCGGTTGGGCGTTCGCGGCTACGGGAGCGATGTATGGGTTCTCTCGTATACGTGGTTTTTCCGGTTCTGCATCCTCCATGTTGTCGTCCTCAACTGAGCCCAGGTCGTCTTCAGAACCATCCTCAGTCTCGCCGTCCTCGTCGAAGCCTGTCTCTTCCAGATCCATGTCGTCCTCGTCAAATGCGGAACCTTCCGACTCGCTGTCCTCTTCCTCACTCGACTCCTGACCCAAGGCTTTCCGCCTCTTGCTTGCGAGCCAATCGTCGTCCTCTTTCCTCTTCCTCTTTGTAGGTTGGGCATCCTCTTCGTCACTGAAATCTCCAAGGTCGCCGAATATGTCGTCCAGACCATCGTCTGCTCCCTTGGACCTCTTTTTGCTCTTCACGCCTAGCCTCTTCTCCAACTTTGCAATCTCAGCGTCATCTTGCGCCAGCTTTTCCTGTGCGGCGCGCGATAGTTTAGGGGGCGGCGGCGACGCTTCCTTGGGCTGTGAGGGTTTCGGTTTGAGGATGCCCTTCAACGGTTTAGGCGACTCCTTCGCAGCTATCGGGGGTGGTGTGGCGTCGGATTCGATGTTGTCCCAGTCTATCTCCTCTTCCTCGTCCTCATCGTCCGAGTCGGGTTCACGACGTGGTCCGCGGCCATTGTGTGGATGCGAGGGTGCTGGCCGTCTGACCTGCTTGTTCTGGCGCTTCTTCTCTACGCGATCGGCCTTGCGCTTGTCTTTGCGATTCGGTGGCCCATTGCGCGGTCCATTTCGTCGGTTGTTGTTCGCTGGGTCTGCTGATGTTAGCACTAAAACGTTACCAGAATTAGCTGAGAATATTACCGAACTGGTTTCTCAATTCCACGGGCAGTTTGGGCCCTCCGAAAGCTGTGCGCATGTTGAGATGGTCGCGACGGTACGGTCGCAAAAAAGTTCGAGAAGTCGGAGTTTGGGTGAGAGAATCCCCGCGTCTCCGCTCCACACGGACGGCCGCGGGCATCCCACCATCCATGCAACCAACTACTACATGGCGCGCGCACGATAGCACTCGACTTTCACCATGGCGCGAGACCACCTAACCAACGAGGAGGTATGAGAAATCAATTAATGAAGCGCCTGTTCAAGGCTGACTGTTGCAGTTCTTCACACGGCTCGCCAATCTTTTCGAGTACACGCGCACCAAAGGCCACGGCAGCGTCTACCTAGTCCAGAAGCGCATGACATTCGGTACCTCTGCTACACCTCCTCCAGCCAGCAAGGTCGCCGATGACCCATTATGGGACACACATCCTGACGAGCCATTACCCGTCCTAATTCGCGCACACAACAACGGCAGCGACAAGAAGGCAGGCACCGACAGAGAGGACATTCCCAAGATAATACTGAGCACCGTGGTGAAGCCAGACGACTTGGACGCATTCTACGCACGGTATGCCGAGGCGTGTAAGACAGGCATGAGTGGGCTCAAGAAGCGAGACAAGAAGAAGGCGAAGAAGACCAAGAAAAAGAAGAAGGGCGAGACCAAAGTATGAGGAACATTGGACACTGCGAAAGCATGAGACGCACAAGAAACACGTCGTTATCATAAAGCACCGATTGATTGATCTTGAGAGGTCACGCGGGTCGCATCGAGAGTATGTCGCTGAGGGAGAAGTGCTACTGGAAGAAGGCACAACAACGACTTGGACGAAGAGATCCTATCAAATCCGGCACCAGTGCGCGAAGACTCTCATGGAGTACAGTGCACCAGAAGATACCACTGAATCATATTCATACTTTACAATCCCCACCATTACTCTCACAATGTCTCCGCCGTCTTCTTGAACATCTTTGTGCTCACAGGCAGCGGTTGCCCCATCCACGTCGCTCTTTGAGTGTGGTCTCTCAACTCATCGTCGGTGTTTGGGTGAATCAGTGCAGACAATGGCCCCCTGTTGACCACGAGCCAGGGAATGAAAGCACCGAACTGCTCTACTAGTCGTCAGCATAGGCATAGAGGTGAGGTCTTTCGATACATACCGGGCGTGAAAATGTTGACCTCGAACATGGCGAGAGGATGGGGTCCAATAGGCCGGTCCCATACTCGGTAAATGCGCAATTCGGGGACTTCGTGTCGTATGAGCATCCTAGCATATTGAGTATATGGATATTGTCCTTACATTCGCGGCGTATCCGTTCCCACAACTCGTTGGCGAACTTGACCTCCTCATTATCAGACTGGAGGAAGTAAATGTGGACGCTAGTTGCTGTCAAATACATAGATAACTGCATCTCAAATTTAAGACTTACTCGAAGCCTCCTCGAATTCCGTTGGTTATAGGAGCTACAAAGGACTTGTATGCTTCGCTCTTCTTCTCGGCTGGTGGGTTTGCATAGGATTTGCCATCTTCGGCCTTCTCACTTGAAAATGTTAGCACGTGCTCCAAACAAATATGTGATCGTGGTCGGAAGGTATCACAGGTAAAGTGTTCAAGGGCAACATACTCCGGCAATGGCTCCATACCTTCGTAGCCCTTCAGAGGAGACGGATACGTGTAGAGATTTGGATCGGCCATGTTTCAAACTGAACGCTATCTTGACGTTTGAGTGCACTTCTCTTGTTGTATCGCGTAACTTTTATAATTGACGAAACAATCAACAATACGCAGCGGAGGTCTTCCGTTTGTCAGCGCGGAATTACAGCGGCCTTGGTTTGCAATGCCCCAATGCAGTCAGTCAGCCCATGTACCAAGTTACAGATGCACTCATACATATGGCGTGCATCATGTCAAATCGTTCTATCATGTGAGCTTGCGTGTTAAGTCCAGATTGTGATGTGAGACGAGTGAGCCGTCAAGTCGCACCAAACCTTGGAAGCATTACGTTCAATCTGGGCAATGAGCGATCATTAGGAACACATCGTAAGCCGACGGGGAAAACGTGTCTAGTATACAGCTCTCTATCAATGGGAAACGCATTGATATGACTCTTCACCGACAGATAAGGAGGCGGCGCAGGAACAATAAGTCCTTATCGATACATGTCGCGCTTCACATAGGC